AGGTAGGTAGGTAGGTAGGTAGGTAGGTAGGTAGGTAGGTAGGTAGGTAGGTAGGTAGGTAGGTAGGTAGGTAGGTATGTAGGTAGGTAGGTAGGTAAGTAGGTAAGTAAGTAGGTAAGTAGGTAGGTTGGTAGGTAGGCCGGTAGATAGGTAGGTAGGTAGGTAAGGTAGATAGACAGGTAGGTAGGTAGGTAGGTGGGTAGGTAGGTAGGTAGGTAGGTAGGTAGGTAGGTAGGTAGGTAGGTAGGTAGGTTGATTGGTTTGTTGGTAGCTAGTAGGTATAGGTAGGTAGGTAGACAGGTAGGTAGATATGGAGGTAAGAAAGTAAGTTAAGTTATGCTAATATTTATAGCGTCTGTCACCAGTGACCATTACGCTACCTGCTTTATAATCAGCGCGCATATAAAGGCAGCACGGACTGCGTCAAACACTCAGTTACGACCTCTTAATTCCAGTACACGACAGCGGTGAGCTGGTGACCATGCAAGGCATTCTATATCTACTGGCCGCAGTGGCCGCGGTAAGTTCTACTTTTAAGTAATCGCTCAGAATGATTACTCCAAGGTTCTACGTAGCGACTCCGCGTAAACTAGACATGTACACGTACACTGTATGAACAACGCTTCTCCGAATTTTTTTTTTATCCGATGTCATTATTTAAATAGTTTCCCGACTCTCATTGATCGCCGGAAAGTGGCTAGCGTAATCACAGGCACTTGGAGCGTTTCAATAAAATATAATGCTAAATAAATACGAAATCTATTTACTACCAAAGTTTGTTTCTCTACTCTCTTTCACCTATTATTGCCGACAATTTCCTGTAAATGCCGTCCAAATGCTCATCTGCAACACACGCTGGCAGCCGCACGCTAGCTGCTGCACACTGACACATAAATATATAGTATTTATAGATACTATACATTTTTTATGTATACATATTTATACTATATTTATACCGATTGTTATCGTTGTCGTGACGGTTTTCGCGTTGACATCACGGTGACGTAATCATGTTGTGTGCAGGTCAGTGCTACGGATCTGCTGTCGTCATCGTCGTACAGGGGTTCGAGGTCCGGGTCCGACGCCTACACCTACCAGCAGAGGTCCCCTCGCACGAGCTATGGTTATGACTACAACAGCGCTCCTGTTTACAGGTATGATACCGCGCACGACGCCGTTTCCCTCTATTTTATAATAATAAAATTCCATCTATAATTCTAAAATAGAATCTCTTCTATTCTATATTAGTGCATCACATGATAAATCGTTGAAAATCTAGTGGATAACGTCGCAGGTACTATGAAGCAATAGTGCCCGCCTGAGCGGGCACTATTGCTTGCGCGACGCATTGTCATTATAACGCATTGTTTTAATACAAATTGAAATTGTTCGTTTAAGAAACTTTGTCTCATTCACTTCATATTTGCCGAGTAGATTGCAAAGTCATGTGATGCACTAAAAACATTAATGCCTGTTGTTCGGGGCACTATGCTGTCATAGTGTTGCTTTGGGAAGGTATAGTGCCCGAGCGGTAGCAAGGTGAGAGCAAAGTGAGAGCATAGTGCCCCCAACAACAGGCATTAATATATAAATAATAAAATTCCATCTATAATTCTAAAATAGAATTCCTTCTATTCTATAATAATAAAATTCCATCTATAATTCTAAAATAGAATCGCTTCTATTCTATAATAATAAAATTTCATCTATGATTCTAAAATAGAATCCCTTCTATAATTCTATAAATCATTCTATTCTATTGTTGCGTCTCCGTATTAATTTCACTGCGCACTC